TGGTGACTATCAATGTACTCTAGCAGGTATGCGTTGTAACCTTAGTAAATGCACGTAGACACAACATTGAAGACCTCCGTAGTACCTGCTTATCTCTTTGTTATTTCGATTGGGCTCTTGACAGCGCTCATCCTCCTACACGTGCGCAGCAGTACACAAAGTTCACCACAGCTGGAAGGCTGTATGCACAAAGCGGACAAAAAAGTGGCGATTGAAGGCAGATATCGGTTTACTGCGTAGTTACCTCCTATTTTTGAGTGTTCACTCCAGTGCTTCTCATGCTTCAACCATCATCAGTCTACCCGGAGTTTGTAATCAACCGCAAGACGGGAATGTGCGTAAGGGGAGATATGCTATCCACTTCACTGATGACATTACCTGACAAGCCTAAAGTAAGTGGAAGGAGTTTTATCTGATAAATAATGCTTAGGGCCTAAAGATTATCTACAGTGAGCTATTAGTGGCAAAAGTTGCCCAAAAGCAAGCCTTTTGATATAAACACAGTAAATTCTTGCCTTGAGGTCCATTTTGACCTCCTGAAACCTGATTTCGCTCTGATACTGACGGCGAGACGACACTTAAAACCAAAGCAGTCGATAAAAAGGGAAACAGCTTCAGTAAGTCCCCCCTAGTCCACCTTCCTACATTCCACTCACAACCGTCGTAGCATCTGAGTAACGAAGCACAGGCTGTTCAACTGTTACTGTCACCAACTTTGCCGAATTCCTCAACGATGTGTGGCTGCAAAAAAAACTTTCTAAATTAGAGTAATCTTTTAAAAGGCAAAAAAATACAAAAAAAAGACTAAAATATCTTTACTTTCTCTTTCAAAGCTGTTTGGTTGTCATAACTTTTGTTGCTGCCAGATCACTTTTTTTCTGCTATTTTAGTCTTTCCTCTGTGTCGACTTTTGCCGACGAAAAAAGTTCAGAATATTAAAATATGATGGAATTCTCCTTCTCTATTTTTATTTGTAAGGTGTGCTAGGAAAGGCAAAAGATGTCCGGAAATTATAGCTCCTAGACGCAATGGGTTGAAGACCGTCTTCCCGAGGGCCCTTTCCTGGTTTTCAAGCTCAAAATGTGACCTTCACCGACAATGAGCCACAGAAAGGCCATCGAAAGGAAATCGTCTTTGGCCAGCCCTCAATTCCGAGTTCGGCACAATAATTGTCAAACAGGCAAGACCGGATTTCAGATAGTCACAATCGGTCCCAAGGAGGAGTTTACCACGTCTTTCCGAATGTACAGCGACCCAAAAGGGTGCGTTGCCTCTCAATCGCATGTTTTTTCTGGGAAAATGTTACCAAGAAAAGTGATTTGTACGAAAAATATGTTTGTTGTGAGCCACCCTCCACCCGAGCGTTAACACTATCATCCGAGCCAATCCTTCCGCGACACGCTTTGCCCCGCAAAGGTTGCGATATTCACCACCGGCATGCACCGTCACCGGAAGGTAATGCAAATTCGGCGTAGATCCTTTGAACCGACAAAGTTGATCAGTCTGCCGAAGTTCTCGGTAGAGTATTGAGGAATCATTTGGGCATCTACTCATTGATAACACACTCTTAGCTTTCGATTTATGTCAAAAAAATCCGTCTAAGAGGCATCTTATCAAAAAGTAACTGAGAAATTTTCGTGCTGCAATGCGCTGTAATGCCTTGAGGACAGTAATAATGCAGAGCCGAGGGGAGACGCCACTGGCCACGCACCACAGAGTGAAGTGGAAGTACGACCTGAGTAGACGGCGACCGAAGTGCTCGGGCAGATCGACGCACGACCTCTACTCAAAAATGAGATTTTGGATGTCCTTTTTTATAAGAAAACGGCGTCCAGACTACCTGATATCACCACCTACGCAATTCTGGAGAGGGATAAAAATCTACAAAATTGATGTTGAAGCGATTAAGTTACTCCTTCAGACGTTATAAATGATGCTAGTATGGAAGCGGGTAGGTTATTTGTAGAAAAGGATTCCGGAATACTGCCTGTTCGACAGGACGAATTGTAAAGTAAATCTAGAGGCTGTGCTAAAGCTTCGCCAATGTTCTACGGCAGACGTATTCTTCCCTAAAATCTATCTATTTTGCGAAGGAGAAGTGGTGTGTTCTCAGAAGGTCAATGGCATTTTTGATGACCCGATTAGATTGGATGATACGAAATCTCGCTTCAACGCAGTCTTTGTAGATTCAACTCCTTTTAAAACTTTTTGAGACAAGTCTCCACGGTGTCAGGTGTCGGTAACGAACATCTTCATACTGTGAAGTTCAAATTCGGCAAAAAATCGACTGAAAAGGGATTGAGTCACCTCTGTATTGACCTGGATCATTCCTGAAGCAGTGATAAGGCCACTGGCCACTGACCACAAAATTAAAGGCTAGTAAGGCAAAAAAACACACAGGTGAGGTGAACAAGACACAGTGACACTGGGAATAAAAGTACTTCCCAAAATTTACCCCGCAAGGGCTACATAAGGTAAATTATCCATTTTAGCACTATCTTCACTACTGTCACATATGTGTGACGCCCCGACAGTCTGGCGTTACGGACATGTAACCGGTGACAACGGGTGGATTGTGCCAAAAGCGAGGCAATATACGCGGAATATTCTCAAACTGAAGAGAATAAATCACTTTTTGTTATTTTTAAGCATCTCTTCAACTGGTAGAGGAAAGTGATTATCAACTGATGGGATATTCGAATAATGTTAGCAAATACATTAATTCATCCTGAATTTTGTGTCGAATTTCCGGCTAAAAATCGTCCCTTCTTTATCGACAATAATGATATCAACCATTTCACTGTCACTGTAGCAATTGAAGGTCTCTTCAAACGAATCCACTGCTGAAGTTGTGAAAGATGCAAAACTGGACGAGGCCATTTACCTCTCTAGCCTTAGAAACCACTTCCTACAGGCACTTTCAACCTCCAAGTGGAGGGCAATTCTCCTCCCCTCCTGGTGTAGTCAGGCGAAGATGTCTTTAGAAAGCATCAATGTGAAAAAGAAATGGCTCCGATCTTTCAGCTCGCATGTGATAACTTGAAAGATGAGTTGCGTAAAAGACAATCTTTTAAAAGGTCGAATTGTAGGAAAAGTGGTGATAAGTATGATTCCATGGTGAAATCTTAAAACCAGAAAATTGTCGACCCATTCTTTTACTATAAACAGTGTCCATCGTCTACACAGAGGCATCTACCTTCCAACATGCCCGAAAGAGTTCGAGTTAATTGAATGGGAAATGATGGTCTCCCCACCAAGGTGTCGACTCCTGAACTCCCATCAAAGTCATTACCTCCTTGAGCTACGTCTCCCTTTAAGGTGACGAACTACCGCAGAAGTTCGTAAAATAAAAAAAAAACTAGTTGACGAGAAATAAGATAACCGAATAAGGTCGAAGAAACCGTCCCTCTTGTGTAAAATTCCACTAGTTGCCTCGGTTGTACCGTATGTGATGGTCCAACATTACTGCCAAGGAGAGGCGGTAACCACCACCTGGAGGGGTATTGCCAGAGCACTAGGAGTACATGCCACTTGCATAAACTTCCCAACCTTGGCCATTCAGCAGCACACAGATCTGAGATCCGTCCTCAAGGTTGGCGACAAAAGATATCCTGGAGTACCATTTCGTTCTTTGTGGAGACTTTCAACGCCGCAATCTGTAAACAAAATTCGTCCTTAAATGCATTAAATTTAAAAAGGAAAAAAATAAATTAACGTCGATTTCACTTTTACAATTTCTTTCGCCTTTTAACTTAAAACAATATGTGCATTTTTAGCAGTGAAGTCTCTGAGAAAAATTTCCTTCCTAAACGGCAAAAGGCAAAAACTACCACCAGTGGCACTATCGTGCCTTCTAGAGAACCTTATTTAAAAACATTCTACTGTGATTGACATGCAGACCCTAGATGGTAATGCTAAGTACCAAATCACTGCAATGTTGCCTTGACTACAAGAAACAGTCCACTTCCACGCGGGCTGTCAACTGGAACAAAAGCAATCGAGTATTTTTTTTCCATGTACTCGAAAACACGTACCTCCAGACACAAGGAGCACCAAGTGGTGGCAAAAAAGAATCCGTCAACCTGCCAGCACGACAGTGTGATTTCCTTCCAAATCAAGGTACCTTTTTATTGGGAGTCCCACAAAGTTCAGGAATGTCCATCCTCCAGCAAAATAGCTTTCAGTGCCTGGAATAAAATTCCTCACAAAGAATCGTTTCTTCTTCTTCTTCTTCTTCACCAAGGTTTTCTAAACAAAGTTGCCTTCCGTAGCGTGAAAATGGGAAGTGTAAACTGAAATCCGCTAGAAATTACTTACCCCTTGAAACCAACCTCCGTGAAGTGACCCAACTGTAACTTAACCTTTTGTTAATTTTTTTCCTTTAACATCAGATTTCTAGACCTCAAGCAAGGGTCAAATTAACCTCGATATGAAAAAGCGCCCTTCACTTATCGTAGGGAAAATGATAAAAAAAAGCAGACAGATATCGCCCGTCAATCTTCAAGCACATCGAGCAGACAAATTAATCACAACCCACTGCAAAACATACCTCCGTTGATGTTAATGTCAAGTTTCTCACAAACAATCGTTTCTTTTTCTTCTTCAACAAAAACGCTTCCTCAAGGCCAAACTCTTGACCAGAAACCGGCTTCCGGAGCATGAAAACGCCAAATTCCAGCCTCAATTCCTTGTAGGTGCATTTCAGTACAGCATTTTCAAGGTAAACATTCACTATTCACAAACTTACCGTAAAAAAGCATTTCAGAGGATCAAGGTAAGATATCTACTGCCAAGGCTTACCCATATTTCTTTTTCCAAAAAAGACTGGAGTTGAAAAAAAACGTACTATAAAAGTCTATTGCGTGCGGATACCCTTAGTTCCTTTCAAGTACACCTTTTATCTGCCTGGGGACACTCAAATCTAGTTCAAAAGTGACAAGAACAGAAGCTACAGACATACACAGCAGAGCATTTATTTTCACAACCATTATCATCATCGTCTACATTTGTAGAGTGCTCGTCGCGTTGCGGACAAAGTCGACCAGAGCAATGGATCGCGAAATCTGCTCGTCGAGCACTGCATGTGAAACCCGTTTTGCCTCTAACACCGCTTCCATCAACTCCAGTGGTCGATCAGCGTCCAGATGGTCATTGTAGCAACCGGTCTCTGCTGCGACCATGTCGCCAAGGCCAAAGGAGCCACCGTCTCCATCGTCATCAAGATCAAGGTTGAAATGCTTGGTAGTGATGGTGGCAGGAGCTTTGGGGGGCCGAGCAATCAGGTCGCCGTGATAACGAAGGAGACTCTCCAGACAAGCTGTTGCGAGATCAAAGTCGAGATTTCGCCGAAACCTGGAGGTAGGGTGAAATCATTGGCTAATAGATGAGGAACTGAAGCATCCACAACTAAGGCGTATTTTAGAATAATTTGTGGAAATTCGAGACAAAAACACTAGAGGTTAAAATGTTTCCGCATGAGTTTAGGTGTCTACCAGGAAAGTGGAAGGCTCATGACGCCCAAATTTTTCCAAAGTAGAGGTTCTCCGAGAACGTAAAGACAGAATTAGGCAGCCTTTGACAACTAGAATGTTTTATATGGAAAAATAGAGTAGCTGAGCAACTCCAAAGTGAACGACCTATAGCTGAGACTTGACGATTCAGGAAACAAAACCCGGGAAGAAAATGACTAGATATTAATCAACTGAAGCCCTTGGAAATTCGCGATTGGTAGATCTTACTGGAAATACAAGAAAAAAAGAGTGGGAATTGCTACCATTCGATTAACCAGTCCTGAAGTGAGAAATCAGCGGTGGATTCAGGCTTCTAGGCGATATGAGACCGAGTAGTAAAGACAAAACCATTGCTATTGAATCGAAGACTACACTTTATCAAGGATTCCACCGCTGAAGGAATAGACGATCCCTAATCGGCCAGTCAATCGATTTGGAGCGTCGTTGATTGGTGAACGGTTGGGTTAGTGCACAAGGGGCAATTAACGCCTTGAAAGGATGGCTATTTATTTAAAATCCCGAAGTTTTAAGCTATCAGCCCATCTACCCTTTCCAATTTCTCTTATAAAATAGTATCCTGCACGTTTCGAGTTTATCCTCCGACTGATTTCCGACTGTTTAGTTGATTGCTTAGTTAAATTAAGGATTCCAGGCAAACCGACCGATACCACCATCTCCCCCTTTATCGGCTTGGAGATCAGAATCAATGTCGGCTTTGAGTTCGCAAAAGACCATATCTATCCCTATAAGAGTTGAATTATTCTCCTATTATTTATTAATAATCACTCCCAGGCATTTGACTCGAGGAATAAACGCTCGCTAATGAAACCGCTTCGTCGAAAACTGGAAGAAGAGGCATGAGCGCTTGCTAGTTGGTTGATTAATCGCTTCGGTATGTCAAAGACTTGAGAGTAGTGTATTCGCCCGCAGAGAACACACAAAGGAGGGTACCTAGAGCAACAGTGAGGAAATTTCCGCCTCAATTAATTAAGCGAATCAGGTGGTTTATCAAAAAAAAGTGGTTTAGTAAATAACAACGGTGAACCACACGAGAATGCCTAAAAACCTAAAATGAAGTAGTTAGGCGTGCCATTCTAGGAGGTTTTTTAGTTGAAAACCACTAACGGGTGAGATAGCTTCCAGCTCGCAAAAAAGGATGACAATTTAGTTGAAAAGAATAGACACAATGCTAACTCCTCATTTCCTGGCTAATTCACTTCAAAATTCGAAGACCTGTGGTTGGCGAAGATGTATGGAAAGGGGTCTAAGAAAGTGCCCCTTTACTTTCACTGCCAACGCCACGTCTCCGTGACTGGCTGATGGACTGGTTGAAGTAGAGATGAAAATACAGACGTAAATTCAGTGTATATCCCCAAGTAGAAGACCCCTCTCTCCCATCCATTTACTCAATCGGTTTAAAACCAAGACATGACTAGCGAGGACCGGTAAAACAACCTCCCCTCCACCCACAAAGTTATATAACACTGGACCTCCGATATCCCCAATCCAAACAGAGGTGCCTCATTTGCAGCTCTACTAATGAATACATATCGTTATTAAAACTGAGCCATTGTTTGGCTATGGAGACACAACAACCCAATGCCCAGTAAAACCACTCGATCACCGTTACGGCATAAACATTCCTACCGCAAGTAAGTACGAAAAACGAGATAAAGCACTAAAGTACCACAATGCCAGTAAAAAAATGCAACAGAAAGTCCACCCCGATGTCACGAGAAAATGAAAAAGAATATTTAAAGGTTTAACGAGAAGCAAACATGAGGGTCCTCCCAACCCCTCCCTTGAAGGAGAAAAAGAGCGATCTGTTTCTATGTGGGAGGGTTGGGAGTTCGGAGGTAGGTGAATCGGAATTTTGGCTGACTGCTTCCAGACTGTCGAAATTGGAGAAGAAAAATCACATATATATATATATATATATATGTATATACAGATATATATAAACCATTCAAAAGTCAACTTTTTGCCTTAATGAGTATGAAATGGCTGGTCCTCGCACGCATTGGGATTGGGTTTATATCCCTCCTGAAATTCGTAACGCCTTAGTGAAGGACAGTCTTGAAATCCTATTGTAAGAAGTTGTTGTTAGTCTCAGAGGACAATTGACCAAAACAGTCCAGACAAACTACTGCCCTAATATCACACCAATTGACATTAATTTTTTCTGGACAATTCAACAGCTGCTCCAAGAACGGAATCAAATGTAATCATCCTCTCCAGTCCAAGAACAGTCCAAACCCATGTAAACGTTCGGAGCCCGACCAATTCGTTGTCATAAACCAATAAATAACACAGCGCGCATTTGTGACTCTGGGTGGGGGGTTAAAAATCGAGATGTCACACGTATGTGACAGCGGTAGCAAATGTGTTAAATGACTACTTTCTACGGGAAATATTGCTCTCGAAATGAAATCCCACCATTGAGAGGTCATTTAAAAGAAAACATCCAGTGGACTTCAAATTCTGACGACTTGATCAACTTGAAGAGAACTAACATTAACCGTGTGCGGTGAATAAAATAATTCTAAGAACACGTTCTGATAGTTTAAATGAGGCTTCGAACAGAGGGGGTATACATAAGTTCTAAAAAAATTGAGCATATGACTCCTCTACCGATGCTTTGCTTGAGCCAGTTCGGTGTACTCCACTCAACACACTTCCAAAGACCTTTAAAGCCAGGAATCCGCCAATGGTAGAAGTGATATCCACTTCTCGGAGGGTAAGAAGTTCCGTTCTAGTAGGATAGTCTAACCTTGAAAATGACCCACGTGCCATACCAGTAGAGAGATCGGAGCTGCTGCCAACAATCAGCCCACTATAAAGCAACTCAACTGCACAAGATTTGACCCAGCCAAAAGTACACTAAGTTAGAGGCAACACAGGTGAAAATGGAAGGACAATTCTAGCCAAACAGACCTTTCGATTTTACAGGTCGACTGTAAAAGTGGATCCTATTGAGAAGGTGCTACATGCAGTGGTGAGAGGCAAGTGAGTCCCATTCCAACTACGAAAAGTCGATCAGTCCAGTCCAGACACCGTTAATTCGGATGAGATAACATCCATGCAATATCAGCCCATACAGAGAAAGTCAATTGGCCACACTTGGACATTTAAAGCGTGTAACCACCTCCAAGACACTCATATGTGTGTCAATAAAGATCCCAACATAGATGGTTCCCTTTCCAGACCACCGCCACCACAGCATTTATTTCTATGAAAATTTAGCGCACGGAAAGCCTGATCCCAGACGTGTCATCGATGTTATGAAGTTATACAAGAACTGAACCGCTCTCTACGGAGGCAGTGAACGAAATAATTCGAAAATGTTAACAATTCTGAGAGGCTAACGCCCGCTGGGTAGCATTACAGCCTTCCACACTGATGAAAAAGTGAAGCAGGCTATTTGAGGATGGTTCACCATCACAGGCAAATCCTTCTGAATTGCATCTCTTGAGGCGAGTTTAAACACTAAAATAGGCATTTAAATTTAGCAGAGGGTTAACACAGTTTCAAAGCCCTGAAACTTGTCTTTTTATTTTGCACACAGATAAAATCAGCAAAGTAAAGCGAAAGAACGGCGAAATGATGCTCTTTGATCTACGCATTAGTCTTGAAGTTGAGGTTTGCAATCAAGTCAGCAAAAAAAACGAGCGATGCACTGGTACACATTTTGCTTCTCGCACAAAACAAATGAGTATGAGCCAAAGTAAACAGATGGAGAGAGGGTGCAAAGCGTTCCTGATCAGAGTCTCAAAGGAAACTCAAACACCACACTCAATAAAAGTTGCTTGACTGAGTGCAATTGCCATTAATCTATGAGTTAGGCACTCTCAAGCTATTGCCAAATACATGTCTCAAGAGATCAAGTTAGGAAATCCGGGTCTCACATAACGGTGAGAAGGTTAGTGTTTTGATACCTCGTTTGCTTTACTTGATTGTTATTATTAACCACAGTAAAGCTAACGTCTACCAAAATACCAGCAATATGTGGAAATGTAACCACCCTGCACCTTTTGGGGTCGGCTCCCAGTCAGGTAGGAGCACGCTGTGCCCCTCAGCTTACCCACTCCCAACAGCAAATCAAGTCATCCATATTGAAGCCTTTCGTCATCGATTGCTCGGATGGAATCTCGATGGTGTCCAATGCGTACACCAAACCTGTTTACAAAAATTATTCGAGAACATGACACTAAAAGCTAACGATGGAAAATAGGCTAGGAATATCACTGAGGTAACTTCATTATAATAAAAGTAGATCTAACAGTCATATTCAACCCCTAAGCCACTCATCTGCTTTCGCGACTTTGTTTGACCTTTCCTTCTTTACGCTTCATGATCGCGGCCACAGCTATTTGGACCCCAGGAATGCTGCACATGCAAATTTTAGAACTTTGTAATTCCTAGGAGAGGTAAGTTAATTCCACTGCTAGGCGCGCCTTCCAAAGGGGAGGAATTTACGCTCCAATACTCACAGGGAGACATAACCCTACCCCCACCCATAATGCCCAGCGTAGGACAAACCACTATTCCCTTTTCCATTCAACTCGCAAGGAGGTTTTACTTTCATCCCAACCACAAGGTAAAAAACTCTGCACTACCTTTCAAGGTCACCTATTCTGTGAGGCAAAAGCAACTGCATAGCATACCAAGAAAGCAATTTCCTCTATCCAAATTTACCCCTTTTAACAGCTTGAAGTACCAAAAATTTAAAAAAGTACTTCTACTTATCGACTGTACAGGAATAAAACATGCTTTGCACATCAGGCCACGGTTCGCAGAGGTTATGTTGCATATGCATAGGAGGGATCCAGGCGTCCCCTCTTAATAAGTGAACGAAATTGCCCATCCGTAAAGTGTTTCATTGTCATAAAACGACTCCGTTTTATGCAAAAAGGCATAAGGCTGATCATTTCCTTGATAAAAAAGCAAAAAATTTTATGAAGCTATATTTCACGGAAAAAAATGATAACATCAAAGTTGGCCCGGCATTGGTCAACACTGGAAACCTTGAACAAACGGAATTTTGAAGGTGGCGACATAAAATGAATACGATTCAACAGTTTCATAAACCAGCAAACCATAAACACGAAAGGGCAAATTTGCGGCGTGACTGCCTCAAAAACGATAGATAAGTTTCTTTCCACCCGATGATCTTATCCAAGCTCTCAAAAGCCCGAAAGATTTTACACTAAATCTACTTTTAATGCGAAAAAAAGGTTATATAAGTAGGGGACGCTAGTATTTCATTGGAAAAAAGATTAGTAATTAAGGCAACAACTTTCGTGCAAGATTTGGAATTAGGACAACCATGGCCATGCAGTCTGCCCGTCCGTCCGTACATCCACCTATCGGCCGAACGAGATGACATTTTTGCATCTCAATAAGCGCCAGAACCACGAAAAGTTGTTAAGGTATTCCGAACTAACAATTTAGCAATACGGGAAGGTAAATCGTTTATAAAGGTTTATTTCAAATTGTGGTTTGCTTTGGAACGACATAGAAGCGACATGCGATTTGTCATCAGATCATACGAAGCCGTCAGCAATTTATTGAAAAAAAAGGTACATATCCTTGATAATTCCTGTGATATTCAGGCGGTGCGGAACCCCTAAAGGGGAGTGTGTGAAGAAGATCAAGGCTGTGACTTGAGAGCTTAGTTGCCCAGACATCGTCCCGGGGAGTGGCAAATCTTGCGCCAGGCTGAAAGAGTTGCCGGTTCGCCACAGAGAAGTGGCCATACGGCACATTTAGACAGGACAAATCACTACCCTCCCCCTTCCCTATCAATTTCGCCGGTAAAACCTTCAAATGAATTCTGATCAACGCTGTACATAGAAGGGAGTTACGGAAGCAGAAAAAGAGACAAAAATGTCAACACAAGTCCCGGTGGACTGAAGGTGACAGAAAAGGCGAATCTCAAAGAGGTTGATTTTATCAAAGAAGAAGAGAAACAAACGAGGCCGACTACTTTGTAGGAGAAAACATTAAGTGAGCATTGCTTAGCTAGAAACGTCAATTTTATGGCGCTGTCTCTTCAGTATAGGCGCGGCACCGGTTAAGCCGGTGAAACCTCGAAATGTCCTCAATTTCATTGGAATGAATGTAAAATCTTAGTCTACAACTATACACATTTGAATCTGATTTGGCGTATATCCCAAATTGGCATAGAATCAAATAGAATTGGTCGTAGGAAAGGAGACAGGGCAGCGGTAATGATAGGCTAAGGCTTCGACAAAAGTGGCTGCCATTTGAGTGGAACAGAAAGGAACAATTCTGAAGAACAATGTAAAGGAATGAGCAGAAAACAGCTCAAAACAAAGGCCATTAAGAGACGGATTACTGCACTTGTTGAAGTGAATTTTGGGCTCCGACCACGCAAATGAAGTGAACAAGTGACATTTGCCGCTTTGACGACCTGCCATGTGCGTTAAATTGGGTATGCAAAAGGTATACATGGCTTGTTTAGTGAAAAAAACAGGCTGGAAAAAACGGAGCAAAGAACGAAAAAGGAAGAATTAGTGACTGATAGGGAGGCAATTTCACAGCAAAATTACAAACAAGAAATGTCCTTTTATTAAGTCATCTAAAGGGCGGGAAAGGGCAAACCACCGCGACTGCTCCTTAGCCTTCGCTATCCCCAAGGGCCACATAGACAATCACCCAATGGAACCGTAGCTTAGAATTTGCAAACACTGCTAAGACAGCAACAGCAAATATTTAGTCCTCATGGACAAAGTGGAAGTAAATTTACTCCCGAATTTTACACCACTTTGTACCCTGGTGGTTGAAAGGCTGCAGGAGAAAAGCGAGTCAGGGAATATGCGAGCCTCCAAAGGCTAGATATGTATAAAAACTGCTTTAACATCAGGTAATTTATAACAAAAAGCGCTTAATTTTGCCTAATTTGGTGACAAAGTTCTGCAAAAACTTATGCTTACCATTAATATTTTACTAGTCCTGCTTTATCATAGAGGCAGGACGCACTGAAGCAAAGCCAAACTGGCTTCAAGCGAAAAAGGGTACAATTTTAATTTTCTGTGAGCATAGGCAGTCAAAACCCAACTGAGGAAAGCGATGCGACAAAACTCTGAGTTACTGGATGGGCAAAATATTGAACTTCGCCAAGGTGTAATTTTAAAGATGTTCTACCTGTTGAGAAGGAGGCGGAGAAAGGCGGAGAGACGAGCGTAGGGATTGGCGGAAAGCGGAAAATGCTCACCATCACCACGATCTATTGCGGCGAAGGCCTCCATCAACTCCTCCCTGGAAGGAGCCAGAAGACGCACCTCGGCATCCAACGCTGATGGTGTGAGACGTCGCAGACGCGACATTACCTCGTCGCCTTTGAAAGGGAGCGGAATAAGCAGAAGAAGGCATTAGGATGGGGAAATTAGCTCCTTTTGTGATATACAAGGAAGCGTTTTAATGCACGGTAAATTTTATTTTGTTTCAATGACACCAAAACTGACCAATTCGACTGCTGTAGCAAAATTTGAAGGAAATGTAACCATCATCATAGGAGGAACGTATTCATGGAAAAATAAATTTTTTTCCTCAAGAATTACAACGGGGCAATTTAGACGCCTTATAGTACTTCAAAACGAAATATTATAAGGGAAAACCCGAAGGGCTGACAGTTCAACTATCAGAAAACAGGGAGATCAGGGGCCACCTAAGCACCGCAATTTAGGGGTATAACATGAAACCAGTAAAACCATGTTAGACAAAACAAATTAAATTAAAAAAGAGAAAGGAAATTCCTTAATCAATAGGAACACAAATTACTTAATTTTCAAATAGCATTTCAAAAATTGTGAGTCGTATGTTTGATACTGCCCTCGACTGTACAAAAGTGGAAAAAGAAGGGTGAGTCGAGGTATCTCAAAGTCCGGTATACGTTAGTACCTTGCCACCCAAAGCTTGTGGGGGGAGAGTGAAAGGAGAAAAACAAATCGTGAAGGTGAACCTTAAAATTATGTCGTGAGACAGTGAGAAGGTGTCAGTATTTCTGTTGGTGTATTTTTAACACTTTGTACACGTCATTGGAGTTAAAGGGGAGGGAGAGAACTACTGGCCTTGGAATGAAACGTGATAGATGTTTCAGTTACTTTTATCCGCCTTCTTTGCCCTATATATCAAATCAGACGGTCCCACAATGTCGTCAGGGCTGGTGTCCAGGGAGCCAAACTGGTAGCAGAGTTGTGGAACATGCCCGAATTCCGTTACGTCGTCGTGATGAACACGACCCCGTCCAAGGGTGAGATCCAAACGGATTTGACGCTTGTGGCGCAAAAAGTGCTTGGTATGGATAGTCGAATTGGATTATGGAAATCACACCACTTTTGGCAACCATTTCAACTTCAAGCGATGGAGCATAGCAAGTAATGGATGAGAACCCGAAATAAACCCGTCCAAGTCGTCCACAAAAGAACTCCTTACAACTTCGACATGGAACGACATCCATGTCGACATAGCAGAATTTGAACAACAATGAACCCAAAAAATAAAGTCAGGAAGAAGCTTCAAGAAAGCAAATTAGCTAAATTCTCCATCGAAATCGATGAAATGCATCACCGTCTTCAGGGTTGGAAGCCATTTCAAGGTGAAAAGACCCTCATATGATCTTCATTTCTGCTTTCCATGTAATTTGAAGTTGTTTAACCACGGTTCTGAATGCCGTTGCGGAATGAAAACCGACACTGAGAGTCGAGGATAATGCTCGAAACAAAACAGAGCCTATGGAAACAGAACGACAGGCATTTTTGTGAGTATACACGATTACGCCGGCCCTTTTTATAACCCACCAGTGGCATAGAATTCTGTCCTACAAAGATGGCCTCTTCGATAGCGTGGAAGCGCGACGTGCGACCAGGGGGAGTCATAACCCAAGATTTGTACGCTCATATTTTAAATAGCATATAAACGATGGGGTGGGAAGAGATTTTTCACCCTAATCTGATTGAAAAAAGTGCGCACTTGCGGCGATGAGAGACCTCTGAAGACAACTACAAACTGCCCCACCTCGAATGTAGACTCTATTGTTTAGTTCTAACCGCTAGAGCTCAACAAAAAATCCCCTAAATTCTGAGCCAAATGGTAACATCGTAGTTGACCCAAGTGAATTTAGCAATATTTTGATGAAAGCCTTGTAACTTTGGACGAGTGCTCAACAATTAAACACATTCGAAATTGACCAAGACGCAGAATCAAACAATGGAGTCCGCTGCCACGTGACTCCTGTGTTTTGTACCTCCGCGACTTCGGCCGTCCACAGTAGTTTGATGGCAGCCAACTGAGTCCTTGAAGACTTTCTTGAAGCATCATCATCCTTCATAAAAGACAAAAGGTTGGACGAGCATATTCCAACGTGCTAATACCGCATAGCATCCGAATTACCCTCCGAACACAGTATAAGGTATGAGTAACCAAATCAAATTGCTAGAGAACTGTTCAACTTAATGAAAGTTTTTTTGCTATGAAATAGACGAATTTCCCATTGAAATTTGCCATTTCACATCCAAGTGTTCCAAGAACATCCAACTCTTCTTAACAAATAAGTACCAGAGCGGACGAAGCGTCACAATCCTCCATTACTAATGAAGTGCTATAAAGGTTATAAATTTGGATGTAGTGACAAAAATCAACTCACACGTCTCATTATTCAACGGATCCTTCAAACTGCCATCTCCTAAAAGGGAATTCAGAACACCGCTTCCGAGATTCAGCACCAGCTCCTCAACCGCCATCTCGCGCCGTCGTTTTTTATGTTTTCTGGAACCAGCATCAGCCTCCACAACTTTTTTAGGCTCTTCTGAAACTAACTTCTCCTCCTCTTCGTCATCCAGCCATACCATTCCAGTGGTAGTTTCGATGGCTGGCAGGAAGAAGGGGAGTTGAGGAGGTCCCATTTCGTCTGTGACTTTCATCGCCTCCGCGTTGCGTTTCTTAATGGCATCTAATTGAAGAAATGCCGCGAAGAAAGACGGTGGCAGGCCAGAGAGGGTCGCCATCTTATCCTGTAGCTGGTCCAGGGAAAGATACATTGGGGGACTACAGAGAAAGAGGTGATAAATGATAAGCAGGAGGTCAAGCTTATTTTATAATATCCGGAGAAGACACGGTAGCATAGTACGTGCCGAACAGAAATGGTTACGAAAAGCTGATTCTGGAGATGAATTACTCAACGAAAAATGCATCACGTTCGATACGATCCCGTCCTCTCAGTAATGGAAAGACAGGTATCAGTGTTGACGAGCCATTCCGGATGAATTTGTCAAGAACAAAAATCTGTAACTACTAAGGTAAATAGTGAAAGAATAAGTCGTGGTGGAAGCTACACAACCGGCTCTCACCCACATGCTTTAACATATGGCAGAAAATAGGCCTCTGAGACTACAAATTCGCTATTATTTGCCTCTTTTATGCGGGTTATAAAGTCGAGATGTGCATTTCAGATTACTTGCGGACTGAACAATACGTGATAAGAAGTGATTATACCCAAAAGACCACGGCAAGTAAAACATTTGAGCTGAAACCGATGCGAAAAAAAAGTGTCAGAGACGCCAACAGATGATGTGGCTAACTAGAGGGCTGTTGAACGCATGCATAGAAAGCAGGCTCCTGCTTTGAAGGAGAATTCGCGATCCCGTCAGGCAGCTCTATCCTGAGCGCAGACGAATCTGATTCCATGTGGGAGATCTGAGCTGAACTGAGACCACAATAGTAGGCATTTTTCTATTTAGGAATTTAATAATTGTTTAATTTGAAGGTGGGGGATGTAGCGCAAAGGGCTGAACTGATGGAAAAAAAGGAAACTACTACATTAAGAAACTGGGACTTATTCGTTAATCTTCTTGTTTATCAAAATAGTCTATCACCTCCAGAAGTAAGTGCCATTCCATTCTGGCAACCGTGTAAAGGAGGTGGAGGGAACACTAAACAAACTACATGGCGTGATCCAGTTTGCCCAGGGTTCTCTAATCTATGCAATGAGGGGCATTTAAAGTACCAATTTACTACATTTTCCGTTTGTATGGACTTGAATCTAGCACCATATCTACTTGAACGTCATCACATCCTCGGCTGATAATAAAAGTGGTAGGAGAAAAGTGGACATTAATGACAACGTTTGTTACCAGAGCGGTCAAATTTCCCCAGAAACACTAGTACCAGGGCAAATCCAGTCGGTGGCAGTGGAACTAACTCAAAAAGTATGAAATATGAAGTTACCCTAACTGAGGATTCAAAAAACGAAGACAGCAACAGACACTGTGAGACTGCTTGATCTCAACGACATGTGTGACACTTCAATTGAGATCACAAAAAGAGGATCACCTTTCCAGTCAAACGTGCAATGGCGCCACAAAATGCATCAAATGGATGAGAGGGGAATTGTCTGTGATCAATCACCGCCCACATGACCTTAATGCCCACAACATCAATAAGGATATCATTTGCTTGCCTCTGTGTCCAGTTTAAAAACGAGTCACAGAAATTCTAAGAAGAAAACAATTACTATCAACAGCAGCTCGCCTGGCAAACAAGTCCAAGGCAGCAAATCGATGGACTTCTTCGAAATGAGCCAATCGCTCGCACAATTATTCTTAAGGCTGAAAAACGCTCAAAAACTTGCGACGAGAAAAACGGTGTTAGCGGAATTCAACAGCCACGAATCTCTGACTTCTGTACAGAGTAACCGGCAAGGGGATGAACAACACGAAATGGCAAGCTAGTTGTCAAAGGAGGTGTGGACACGCACATTCATTTCGAACTCGAATAGCTAGCTACTCAATCAGTCCGTGGCTCCATCAGGCGGCTGGGCGAAAAACTGACATGCCTCCACACCAAGTATATTACCACAATCCTGAATCCATTTATAAAGCAAAAAAGTGTCATGAAATGACGAATTTCACATCGAGTGATTCAGCAATGAAGAAGCCGTAAGAACCCATAAGGCCTTACCTTCTACACTAAAGGAACCAAAATTTTGCCAATGATAATATCAATTCTAGTCTCACTAGTTCACGAGGGCAAAGCACATGCTGTGGGTAGTTAGATCAACGAAAATTCAACAGGACTATTGAAATCCACATCGACATCAATACTGAGTTCGCCATAATGACAACGATGAAGTATATTCAAAGGAATCAGAATCGTGACGCGATGCCTCCCCACAAGGAATAACTTAGCAGGTGGCTTGGAAGCACTTAAATTACAAGGAAGTGGGAAGGATAGTTGAAATAAGAATCCAACTCCATAAAACTGTTCTGTCTAGTGTATTAAACGGTTTCATTTTTGGGAAAACTTTCCTACAGAAAGCGATGCACACACGGAATCCACCTACTGTGAAGCACTATTTAGCCTTAAGCAAATGGTCCTCCACACTATGATAAGTGGATCCATCAAAACTGACGCGACGCATTCAAAAGCCCTTTCGGTGTTTTTTTAATGCACCTGGTTGACATTACTGTGATGTCCGGCCCGGAAGACCGGCTAAGGGGAGCCCTGAGGGCAGCGCTTAAAAGAATATCCAATGGTGAGTGTTTTACTTGCACAGGGTTCCCGTCTCCATCTAATATAATAGTCATTTACCTTTTCTGTAAAGCCACTCGCCAAATCGTGTCTTTTATCAAGGAACTCAAGTGCTGTTATTCTACAGGAACAAGGGCCACTCGATCAATAAGTGATCAAACTCACCAGGTATCCTTCTCGTTCTTCTCCTCATCGACATCCATCTTCTCCACGTCACCCTCCTCCCCTTCAACGAAATCCCGCTTCGCTGAGAGTCCCTCGGTTGGCAGTTCAGTGAAATCAGCGGTATCTGGAGGCGTGTAATCCTCGGGTAGGGGTTTGAGGTGCAGACGTTGGTAGGTTGCCCGATTGTCCCATAGATAGATGCCGAGACAGGCGGTGTGGGTGGTCGCAAGGAGATCGTCGGCTGGGGAGAAGGCCACGCTGGTAGCGGGCCGCCGTACGCGGAAACAGTCGACCAATCTGTGATCAGTGGTGGGAATAAGGACTATGTTTACAAACTCAGGTATAAGAAAAGGATGCCGTTTAAAACGGCGAAGTAGCAGTTTACTCCACAGTCTCAAAGTAGACGGCATCTCAACTACTTATAGGGCGCTCGATTAACGTCGCTTAACGGTGACCTCGTGATTATTTTGTGTGGGATTTGTAGTCAATTCATCTATCCAGTTGGCCATTACAACTTTACAGATCTATTATTTCCTAAATAGTAGTTTATGTAAATGTTAAACAAAAAACTACCGAGGCCTTTGATTAGACTATTTTAAATTGAGAAAGAGAAGCCTAGCAAATAAATAGACCGGAATGTGCGGTATTTTAATGTTTCGCATAACCATATATGCAGCTACCCTGACATCTAAGCTATTTGACCCTCGGTTTCGTACCCACTTTGGAATGACGCAGGCCAAAGATATCACTTCAATTATTTGTTATAAGGCCCCGAGAATAATAAGTGGAGCAAAACGCACTTGCAGTCGACAACATCCCAAGTTTTGATGAGTGGGTCGCCACGATGTGTAGTCACCATCATAGTTCCATCAGATGACAATGCCTAAAGCAGATAGGCATTGATCAACCAACCGCAATAATTGTTACTTAAAAGTGGAAGTGGACTCACCAAATCATTGCAGGGATGTGTCACCGAGTTGGGGAAACGACGAAAAATTTGCCGATTCACTGCATTGATTAGCACCACCTCACCGGTTGAGAGAGCGAGCGCCAGAGCATCACTAGAATCGGGAATAAATGGAGTTTTGAACGCCATTAAAACGTCTCAATATTGTGCTGTACCTTTCATCGTGAAATTTTGCAAATCTTGGCGGCGAGGTGAGAGGTAGGCTGTCGATAAGCTTGCCAGTGGAGAAATACCAGAATTTCACCTCAGCAGACCCCACTGTGATAAGCACCCGATTGACGTTGGTCACATGGACTCCGATAACACCAGATTCGTGAGCTATAAGTGTGAAGAAAAAGTGAAAGACAGTCAAGTTTGGACCAAAAAAGTATGAAATCCTGATCACCAATGCTTCGGATGAGTCTTTTAGTTTGGAATAATTTTCGTAAAAATCGCGGTAAAGAGATGCCTTGTAGGATCAGAGGACGAATGGAGCCTTTTTACGAGGCGATGTGGCTAGCCAATGAACCAGCACCACACACACACAGCATAGCATATAGGCAGGTAGTTTGAGAGTGAAAAATTTCCCTCTATCAAGCAATCTCAATCTTGAAAAACGAGTTGAATCTAACTGGTCGGCAAAAATAAGTTTCCGTAACGAAGGCAATTTGACTAATTGATGCCCGACCATTTGTCATTGAAGATGATAGGAAACATAACAAACTGCTGGCTATTCGACGATCCGTTTCCATTTCTCCACAAGAAAAACAAAGCAAACTCGAGGGCAATTTGACCTGGGGCATAAAACGGCTCATTCCTAACTATCTAGGTCTAAAGAAATCTACTCTAAGTTAGGATTTGGAAAAAAGTTAAAAGGGTTGATTCACTGGCGTTTAAAATTTACCTTTTCCATCATTCCCGAATTCACCGTACTCTAATCCAGACTGTATGTTGAATTTGACCACATCACCACTGGAATAGCCAATTACCACGAAGTGTCCACATCGTGTCATGCAGAGGCACTGAAGGTGGTCAAACATCATCGAAAATAGCTCATTTACTCATTATCCACCAGTAGCAATACAGAGACTTCCAACTTACAGTAGCTGTAGTATACCTATGCACGCGCAAAGCCTCGCCCCCTTTGCCGTGGAAACGCTTAGGATCCAGCCAATGGCGCCCACGGGTAGCCTTGACAAAGTTCCAGGTGGACACCTGGCGACGGTCGGTGTGGGCAACGGCAATGGAGTCCCAGTCGTTAGCACGACCTGGGGATAGAGCGATTGCGGATGGGCCAGGTAGGAGGTAGGGTAGCCGTTGGGCAACAGAAGTTAATCTCTTTGCTGAAGGCATAGAAGGGGAGTAGGCGCGACCCAGACTCCGATCATAACGTTCATTATAGGTAGAGAAAATCCTACAGGAATGAATAACAGAACAGTGCCGTCTTTGCATCTGTATCTACCCAGGTATTTTCTGTCTCTCATTATTGGTGGAGCGGATTCAACTCACGCCACCTATCCCCACTAATCCCCAAGTCCCTTTCAAATATGTTTTTTGCAAATTCTTCGAGGTTAGCTTGGATGTGGCATTGTCGGTAGTGTCAGCAAGACCAATGTAAAGGGACAAGGTCACCTTCATTGACTGAATACAACACCAGGAAAACATAAAAGGCATCTCATTTAGATGCCTAAATCCACAGAGATTCATGACGGAAGCACCACGAGAAGAGTGGCAAACTCTACCAAATAACCGACAATGGAAATAAAATTTGCACGAATTAAAATCGTCACTAGAGAGCTGCTTACAAGGCAGGGATGAGACATTCGTCCAATGTTCCGCACAATGAAAGGGCTCGTTGTAGAACACCGTCTAGCCTTCAGCACCACTTCCCAAATTAATCCCACCCCAATGGAGTTCGCATGACAGAGGGTGCGATATCTCAGGAATGAGAAGCTTTCTAGCCAAGATAAAAATTTACCTCATCACCCGCGTTCTCCGTCACTTTAATGCTACTGAGAGCCTACAAATAGGAGTTCAGAAGACGGTCCCTCATGACTCAACTACTACACTGGCGGCAAAGACTTGTGTACTTGTGTCGCTTTCCAACTGATATTTCTTGCAACATTTTCAGGGGTGATTTGGACACCACTGAGGAACGAGAACACCAAGCGTATCTGGCAAAAAGCGCTGCCCATAATACACAAGTGGATGAATTTACCGCAACTGAGAATCGGGTCCGCCGGAGACTAGAAGGCTGCCACCAGCTGAACCACCCGTCCAAAAAACTATTTTATTCGGCGGAAGAAAGTGACCACTTCTGATGTGTTTGGTGCATGGCAGGCTGTCTGGGCGGTCGAAGAATGACACCTATATGTAAAAATCAAAATTATCAATTCCATAAGGGATAAGTAGCTCGGATGTAAACAGTGCCATTGCAAAAAATAATCCAGAAATACTTCGATGGCGAGGTGTTTCGGTTTTATGCTCACTTTGACACAATTGTCAGCACCACTGGAAACCAGAGAACCTGCAGCTTCTCCCGAAGGTATGCAAAACAGGTGGATGACGCGTGCCAAATGGAATTCATCCGCCTGATTGACCGCACGACAGGTTCCACCGCTCTCCAGCTCCCACATGGAAAGTTGGCCAGATTCAGAACCGGCAAGAAGGTAAATGGAAGCGTTCGGTTCGATTAAATTCTCAATTCCTGCGCAGCGCAGAGCTTCAGAAGCGCCCAACCCGGCACTGTCTGTAGTTGCAAAAACATTGCTATTTGCAAGTAGTATAAGTAGGAGAAGCTTTACTAAAATGCACTGGTACTAATTGATTGGGGAACCGTCTCAAAAGAAAATTATTCCTATCTCTGTTTGTAGAATAGGCCTGCATAGGTACAAAGTCACCATTTACCCAGGTAAAGGAGAGTGCACAGGCCTATCATCGACTAGAAGGGAGTGCCGCTATGGTAAATAGACAAACTCTAGCTTTAAAATGGTATCCGAGTAATGATAACTCCATGCAATGTGAAGCAAGAGTCTTATGTACCTAATATTTCATCGAGAAAATACTTGGAACTAAATGTAAAGTTAAGTACGCTTCTCGGCTTGTGTCAGCTTTAGCAAGATTCACCTAGCCTTTATCAAACAATGCAATAGTGATAAAAACGGTGGTTTAGAACCTTAGCAAACAAGAATAAAACTTATCAAAGCACAATATGTAAAGCTAAAACATAATAAAATGAATTTTAGGATTCGCCATATTGAATTTGGTTAACTTCAATGAAGTACTTAGAGACAATTAAAAGTGTTAAGTCTGACAAGGTCCAACTTTAAGCGTCACTTGGGTTTACCTCCCCTGACCACTAGGAAAGGGGAAGCGTTGGGTATTTACCTTGGGCAACGCTTGGTTTAGACAATGTTAGTGAAATAACGTCATAATGTTAAAAGTAGACGAGATTATCTTCTCTACACCATCGTCAACAAAAAACAGGCTACTTTACAGGGGGATTTCTAGGGTGAACTCGGTTCAGAGCAGACGCCCACTTATGATATCGAGGAATGAAGTGCCTCACGTAGAGCTGACCACAAATGAGTGAACACAGTACAGGCTTCGACAAATTTAAAATGTCCGTTTTAATGAACCTGGACGTTAAAATGACGTCTTTCAGTTAGTCCTACCGGCTAGCTTATAGAACTCTAAAACATAGATACAATCCTTTCAAAAGTAGAGATAAATCAGGCAGGGAATCAATCACGAAACATCTGTCTTGAGCGTAGTAGAAGATGAATGCACGTGAATGCCTTCCTAGTCAACAAAAAACCTGTCATCGTGAATTAAAACAAATGATAAAGGTCGAAAAACAAGTTTTCTAAGTGAGAGGAAACCTTAATACAGCAATGTACTGGAAACTATTTATCCAATCTCCGAAATGATAAACCAAAGCGGTCGGAATCTAAAGTTATTAGCAGTTCAGCAGTCCTAAGCAGTGTGGAAATCCAAAGAGATCAAATACACTAAATATCTAACGTTTGGTAGATAGTTAATCAAGACAGTACACAAGTCAGAGTTTTGTGTGTGAAGTTCCGTTCTATGGACCTTTTGGGTCGTAAAAATTGGTCGAATACCATGTAAGGGACCTGAGCTGAGGCCGAGGTGGCAGATAATAATGAATTGAGATGAAAACAGCCACAACCGCTACTATCACAACGAAACGCAGTCTAGACTTACCCTCAATAGTAAGAATAGAACTCATAAAACTAAAAACAGAGCTTCCACAACGAGGAATTCCGATCAAAAAATGAATGCCGTAAACGGATTCCATCTATCGACACTAATTAATATAAACTTCAAAGTAAGTCAAACCGATTGTGATGTATGAAAGACAATACCATGCTGTAAGAAAGCGCAAAGACAAATGTAACTTCTAGGAAAAATCTTGCCTGATCGGAACTCGATGGTAGTAATAGCTCCCCCGTCCTGGCCAACGGTGATTAAAGTCATGTCATAACGGAGGTTGTGCAGGACAATCTGTCCATTTCCCAGTCCAATAGCGCAAACATCGAAAGAAGGTGCCTGTACTAGACAGGTAACAGACGAATCAAAGCCTCTGAACCAGTAAATCGGTTTCTTTGCAAGAGTCTTCCACAAATGAAGAGGACCCTGCGAACTACCAAGCAATAGTTTATCACCGTAACCAGTGGGATGACACATCGAAGAGATCTCAAAGGCATTCTCAGGAAAGCTAGTTTGTGTAACACTTTCTAGAGGGGAAAAATTCAGTCTACAATATATTATTACCTCTCGTTTTTAGGTTCCACACGATGAAGAGACCAGACTCATCGTAAGAGGCCAAATAACTGTCCCAAAAGGCAAGAATCCTTCGGATGGGAGCTGTGTGACCCTCCAATTTAAAAAAAATATGACGAAGACCACGAAACGCGTAGATGACATTCCCGGATGACGCGTAGACGTATGAACGATCGGATGTAAAAGAGGTTATATCGGCTGGTAAACAGTCACCTTCAAAAAATGGCAAGGAAAAAGGAAACTTACTTATTCCAACGAATCTAAGATTTGGTAGCTGAAGATATTAAACCATCGTTACAAGCAAGTCGAATCAAGTGATAATTATTAAATGAGCATGTACCTGATAGACGTTAAAGCGTTCTCCGACTGGAACCAGCACATTATATTCCTTAGAATGTGGTTTGTATTTTACAACAAATGGGATATCTGAGGAGATAAGACCAAGTGCCCTATAGGGACGAAATATTACAGACGACGAAGTCATGCCGCACAAACGTCCTTAGGTATTGGTAAACTGCGCTGGTGACTTCTAGCATCTGATTGGTTAAAACACTTATCTACAAATTAAAACAAAGCAGAGGATATAACTTTTGCTCAGTGTCTATGAGTTAAGTAATGCACTGTTGTAGCTTTAAACTGCCTGACTTATATTTAGCTATTAAAATTTTAATTTCGATTTAATTGTTTTCCAGGCTTTGTCAAATAAAACGGCAAGAAGTAAAGTGAGGGCAAGTATGCAAGTTGGTATTTTGCAACCAAGGATAGTATGTACATATTTTAGTAAAAAGCTATCAGTTTTGTAGAAATTCAACTAGAAAAATGATTTGTCATATTAAAGCTTCATAACAACTATTCTACTTGTAGCTCGTCTCATTTAAAGGTAACATTAGAGGCCTTAGGTGTTTTAACTGAAGCATTCGTAAATTTTGTCAAAATAAGATAACAGAGTTGTTAAAAGGAGGCATTGATTAGTTGAAGGCAATCCAAGTGGAATACTCGATAAAATAAGTACTGTGTTATAACATAGTCTTCTTCTCTTTAGCGGCGTCTCTAGCACCTCCTCCGGTCATGCATCTTCCTTGACCATATTTTCGTTTGAACTGCAGAAAGATAGCCTTATATCGGAGGGCTAATATTGCATGGCGATTTTAGTACAGGCTGTGGGTCTCATTGTGAACTCTGATTATCGCCGACTCTGCAGTGTTAATTATCCCGGTAAAACGCCTGTCAGTAAAGCATCTCTAGATACTAGACTTTGTTCTCCAGAGGCCATGTCCAGTGTGTCATCAGCGCCCCCCATTGAAGCTAATTCAAAGGCAACATTCAGGTTCAGACCACCATGCCGTCAGGCCTGGATGTCAATAGTACCGTTCAAGAAAACATATTAATGCTTTCGTTAGGTAAAATATGATTTGAGATAACTAGACCTCGATTCACTACTATTTGCTATCTATAACCCCAAATCGAGGGATTTTCAAAAGAGGGACTCACATTTTTCAACTCTTCCGCAGTGATTTTCCCTCATCAGCACCAAATATCATCCCCATGAAGCAGGACAAATAAACCATGGCAATTCTTTACTTGGATCAGCTCTGTCTATAAATTTTACTTATGTAACTTACCTAATAATCGTTAAAAGCATATGTGGAACAGGTAGTATAGAAATTTTTTGCTGAGGCTTAGAAATGCCGGGAAACTATACGTACTCCTGAAGGAAGTACGAACAGCCAAGACTCATCGACTGGCTAAAATAAACTCTCAACGTAAATTGAGGGTTATTTTGCTTAACCTAAAACATTCAAAAATGGGGAGTTTTTGGCGCTTACATTATTATCCATATTTCAATCACTTTACTATGTTCCTTCAAACGCAAAAAGTGGATGGGGATCTACCATTAATTTTATTCCCACTTAGCATCTGCCCTTTGATAAGTCTAAGATACTTATACTAGAATATTAGGAAATACAAGCAAGTGACCTGCCATTCCTTTAGCTTAATTTGCAGACTTAAGGAAGTTATCCCCACAGTTCGACAGGCATTGCTAGTGGTGTATTGCCCTAACATAAAGAAAGGCAATATACCACTGTCATTTTTTAAAGAATCCAAGCTCGCTTCTATTTGGATTTTTTGGCTCTTTTTTTGCATCTTTTATAGGCCCCAAGGTCACGCTCTACTTATGTGAAGAATTCCGTGTTTTGATTAGCGGTACTAGCCTGTGTTTGGTCACCTAGTCATGGAAGTAAATATTTGATGGTTTTCTTTTACTCCTCTTAACAAGCACCTAACAGTGTTCCAAAATTGCCAGCCGAATTCGTTGGTATACTGAAGTAAATGTTTATGAATAACTTGTCCAGGCAAAGGATGAGTCTCTTAGCATAAAATTAATAAATTGTTCATCAGCTCTTTCCGTGATTTAGTTTTTGTCAAAAATACCAGAATTTTGTTGCAGAAATCTCATTCAGGACGTTTATGCGTATGGCCGCTTTGTTTGTCGCATATTTGAATGGTTGTGTACGCCTACGGTTAATCATGAGTAGTACCGGTAAAGAGGAGGATTTGCTGTTTACCCACAGAAAGGTTGCTTTAGGTGCTTGTACGAGGCTGGAGTAAAAGCAGTTTAGAGTGAGGAGTCCGCGCAGCTAAACACTCTGTCAAGCAAAAGAGCGAGTCACTGCAAGGTATGCATTCTTCTAGAGACAAAGTGTAGAGGTGCGGTTATCTCTTTTAGCTTAGCATGCTTAAGTATGCTTGAAATTTGTCGCTGTGATCGAATGGTCAAAGTGAAGGAAGCGCTAATACAAGGGATTAACTTTAAGTGGAAATGTTTAGAAACCCCGATCAGCCGAAATCTCACTAGAGGTAGCGAATAACCTGTTCATCGTCACTCGGGCGGGTACTTTCCGCGAGTTATCAACAGCTGAAGAGAGCACCAAAATTTTACATTTATTACCAACGCTCCCCTTTTTTAAAAAAGAATGTATCAAAGTATTACTCCCATCACGAAATAAATTACGAAGTAATTTAGGGACAAAATCCTCGGATTATACTGCCGATGATGTGAGGCCTATTCTTTCCCCATCTCCTTCCTTAAATGCCACCAAAAAAAGGAAAGGTTTTGCTGTAAAAAATGTTAACAGACGCAAATGCTAAACCTAGCCACATGAATGACTTTACCCGTTTAGATGTCCATAAAACTTTTACTGTTAGAAGACTGAAGTAGGTTAAGTGAGTGAGTAAATTATTTTAGAATGAATGTGATGCCTACAATCGCTTTTTACAAAGTACCAACCTTTAGCCTTGGATTATATTCAAAATGGGTGGAAATACCGTATAAATAACTTTATGTGGCACACTCTGTCAGTACTTCAAATCTAGACTGTGACATAAAGGTGTTTTTTTTACAAGATTATATTTCAGTGTTGCATTATGCCCACTTGTCACCTGTCAATTGCCATAAAAGTAGACGAGTACCGAGATTCGGTTTGCGAATGTGGTAGAATCCATTACGTTAACAAAATATGCTACCCATGGGTTTCCTTTGATCATCTGGCAATTAGAAGAAGACTTTCCCCATTCTAAATTTCCACTAAGTAATGCTACAAGAAGGGCTCACAAATAATCGGCGTTCTTGAGCATACAGTAAAACGAAGTGTAAAATCACTACAGAAATCTCCTCCACTTTATTCTTTTTCCTTAATTTGTTTTGCTTTGAAGCTTCGTCTCCAGTGATCCCCGAGAAGAGCTTAGAAACTAGAGGCCTCAATTTTTTGCACCTCTACTACGGTGACCCTCGTGGACACAACTGGCAGAGCCCGGGGATTCATTGGCATCTTGCCCTGTGGGGACGCGTCATCCTGCCCTCCGCCTCACAAGCATGGCATTTGCAAAGCCCCATTTGTAGGAATAGTTGTGCAAATCCAGCCATTCAACAAATAATGACGTTTTCACCTACTACCACATAAGGCTTTCTGCTATCACCCATTTAGCTAAGACGAACACGAAAAAGGTCCTCTTTTATTGCTACTTTCCTCCACTTACAGACCTTCATAACAATATCATGCCAGGTTTCATGGTGATTTGATTGCCGATGTCTGGTGTGGGTATGTAATGGAAACCATCGCGTTAGCCAATAAAAAACCTTTGGCATGGGTTTTCTCATATTTTCCAACATTTTTAGTATATGTTTACCTGTCGTGCCTTGTCACCTCCCGAATTATAATATAACGCATCGATTCCGCGAATGGCTTCTTGTTGGTTTGTGCATGGGCGGTATGGATGCCTGAGTCTCCACAGCGTCATGATAAAAGAAAGAACACCAAACGCTAACCACCTAACAACCCGACATCTCACATTTGAAAGTGGCGTCGCTGGTAATGGTGGCAGCAGCTGCTCCACTCTAACAGCTTCTTTGCCAAAGTCTTCAAATCACAAACAAATGTGACCATAATTAAGGACGTAGTCGAAACCTACTGTCGGCATGGAGCAGACCATTCTATACCTATCCTGATTCAACAGCTCCCAAACTAAGTACATAGAACGTGGGTGCCACTTTCAATCATTCATTTCATATCCCTCATATGAACGACAGCATTTCTGTCTGGGTACGCTTAACAGGCAGGCAGGGTGGCCTCTCCAACTAAGTGGATGCAGCTCAACTAGACACCACTCATCGTCACCACAACCAAACTTTATTGGAAACCGTCTCTTTACGTCACTCACGTCCTGCAATTTACGTGACCAACAGTGACTACACATATGCCCTCCACATCTGCTGGCAGTACATCTACTTCATGATTGTGCCAGCAATACCCTTGGTAGTCAAACAACACTTTCAAAGAAATGTACAAATAAAGATGAAAGTCAAGTAATGTATGCATGTTTGAATCGCTGTCAATTGCCTGTCAAGTGTGGGGCACATCCACTGCCTCCTACTGCCAGTGGCGCTATTCCTCCTCCTACAAAGCAATATAAAAGATGGGAGTCACTCCATCGCTTCCTCTTCTGTCACTCTCATCACTTTATTCATGCGATGCACAACCAATCATTTTGTTGGATGGATAACACACCACTACAGGCTGATGGCGATGTAGGCACTGCATACTAGCGGAATCAAGGATGTGTCTTGCTGTAAGAAGGAGGAATTACTCTTCAGAATCCATGGCTGATAATTCGTCATGTCCGTTGAATCAAACGTCACTTTTGCAATGCCGCCGTGAAGTAAGATCCGTCGCAATGGTGATGTAACCATGCAGGCGCCTCTATATCCACGCTTTCAATAGCCATCTCAGCGACGCGGCTTCCTTTTCACACCTACATTCACACCTTCAAGTCCTATCCATATCTTCAGGTTGGCACCTTCTTTAGGTCAACACCCAAATAATCTGGAAGCCTAAAAAACAGGGATCCAGAAGCCCTTAAGAAATATTGTTCTGCCGCCAATGCTGACGTGTCATATTTTCCCGACTTATTTCTTCATTTAAGAAC